AGGGAAAATGCAAACCTAAAATTTCTCAATGCTGTCTGATAATCGGAAATTATGGTAATCGAGCGATAAAGGATAATAATAATAAAAAAACTATTTCTTGCAAAACTGATGAGTCCTAGGCACTATTCAGCATGCGCAGATGTTTTGCGCAAATTTACAGAGCCCAGTATGGAGCCGCTAGGTTGCTGGGTATCTTTGGTACATCAACATGGCGGCCGGAAAATAGTTTATGTATTTATTTATTACGAATATTTAGACAGGGTAGCCCAGTTCAGCAAATAGCTGGTTTAAATGGGGCCCTGTGAAACAAAATCCAGAAAACTATATTGATAATAATACAACTACACGGAGATTAAATATAACTATTGAGATACAACTATATAAATATTATTATTATTTTTATAACTATACAATTATTATTAGATGTAACTGAATATAACTAACTCCATATAACTATCGACCCTGATCTTTCAGATTAGGGTCAATATTTATCGGAAATGTTTGAGCCTATTTTTAAAAATTTGGAAATAATCAATATTTCTTATGCTACACGGTAATTTGTTCCAAGAAGTAGCCCCATGGATGCAAAAGGTTTTTTTTTCTGGGTCTTAGCAAAGGGCGGACGAAGTTTATCTTTATTACGGGTGTTATAGGAATGTATACTGCTAGCGTGGGTGAATTCGTTGAGAAGATAAGCAGGAGCTAAACCATGCAGGCACTTGAAAACAAGAATACATACTTGAAGATCTCTGCGTGGTTGCAGCGATGGCCAACTAAGTATAGATTTGATTTTATGCGATTCAATCTTACGTTGCTCAATAATCCTCGCGGCTCGCAATTGAAGTTTGCCAAGATAATCTTGGTTAATCTTGCCCAACGTACACCAAATCACAGAGCAGTAATCAATAAGAGGAAGAATCATGCTGTAATAGTGTAAAACATCTGGAACTTACTTTGGCCATCTAGCTCACTGATTATCTAAACTAAACCAACAAACATGTAAAAAAATTCTCCTGACACTTAATTTTCTAAAAAGGCTAGAAATCCCTAGTCTATGTATTTCGACAAACGCGATCGGAGCTGTATGTCACGTAACCACCCTAACTCTGAACTTCAAACTGCCTTGGGATTTCCAAACCAAGTACGCTATTGAGGTGAAGATTTGAAAACAGATACGAATTTAGACCCCTGATGAGGATAACAATTTTCGTGCCTCTTTATTTTTGGATTTTCGAATTTGAAGTGTCACGTGAAATCAGTAATTGCGTGACATACAATCTTTGAAAGTTGTGTTATGACGTTTTCCAAGTAGCTACTTGGGGCAATAGAAGGCTGAAACGGTGGTATCCAGTTTGATATGACACGGATGTCGTTCTTTGTTTTGTCCGTAAAAATTGTATTGGAGGCATTTTGCGGGTGTTGGGATAAATTTGAGACCCTTTGAAAGCACGCTGACTTGGTTGTCTGAAAGTTGATTACTGGAGATACTTTTACCGGAAATTTTCATTTGTCTCTCATTCTTTGGGTGAAATGCGTGACCTCAGTTGAAATGTAACTGCACCTTACCTTTTCCCAGAAACTCACCAGCGTTTTAAGATTTTAAGTTGACTTTTTGGAATTGCAAGTTTAGGTAATTGACTTTAATTTGACCGACAAAAGAAAACCAAATTTGGCCAGAGTTGACTTGCAATTCCCATTGCAGGCGTAAAAGGTAAACAAAGTCTGAAATTGTCGGGGATCATAAAGCGGAAAGCCTAACACTCTAATGTTGCTATGGCAAGCACTTTTTAATGATTGATAGTAAAAGTTCATTGAGACGTAATGCGTCTGCTTTGGCTTTGGGACTAATTGATGTATTTATTTCTTTGAAGAGTTTTTTTTGCGTCTACCAAACAAAAGAAAGCTTTTAGTTTACGATGTAGACATCTCCCAACTGGATAAACAAACCAAAATTAATTGAGGAACGCAAATAACCAGGAGAGGGAAAATAGGCTGAGTATATTCAGTCCTCGTCAAATTTAGTGAGTCAAATATATTAGCGATGAGCACGCTTTGAAAGAGACCAATGTGGAACATTTCCTGCCTCGTTCCATTCACAGGAAAACAGCGTAGCAAAATGCAACTTAACATCCACTTTAGGATCTCTGACAACGCTCGCCGCGCTATGTGGGCCACCTTGGCAGATATGGTAATTTTCTCCGAGAATTTAATTTCTTTCCTGTGTCCACTCGTTAGTAAACCAAGATCTGGATTACCCTGAGCCATCTAAAAGAATAATGGACTTGGTCGTGGATGTTTTTACAACGCTTATTTAATCTTTGTTTATCTACACTGACGCCAACGTAACACGTGCTCTCGCATGTGGGTATTGTTTAACCACCTGTCAAACAGTTTCTAAAGAGCGTAACCTGCAAGCGTTCTCTTCTCCGCATTCGAACCTCATTTTATACATTCATGCAGACACACACTTCAAGTATTGGCTTACAGTGTTGGGAATCATTACGTAAGTACAATAATTGGGATAGGGAGTCCCCTTTCCCCTGCTTTTATTGGCATATTTATCTTTAACTTGTATGCAGTTTTGCAGATGTTGATTAACAGTTGTGCCTCTGGAATAAGGCCGTTGAAGCACAATAGTTGGTTCTCGTTTAAAGACGTTGATTTGTAAACTATGTGAATGTTAAATATTGTAAGAAATATACAACTTTTTTGAGAGACATGTTTCGGCATGCCTATGCCATCTTCAATCAATGAGTAACTGAACCAGAGGTGGCCCAAGCTCTGTCACAGGCTCTTTCACGATGGATTATTAAAGAGTTTGTACTGATATGCTGGATTTTGTAAACCATAGGGCCTTCCAGAGTCGCGATAAAATAGTTCCCGCCATTTACAAGCGAACTGGAAAGGATGCAACGTTCCTCTTGGATCAAACATATCGCTGGAGTAACAGAAACAACTGGTCCTTCCCAAAGCTGTCGATGCATCTAAAACTTTGAGTCTGAAACCCACTGAAAGTCGTTTTAAAAATTTCTTTTGTAATGAAAAGAAAACTAGTCATGATTTCGATGCATATGAGCTGGAACGTTGGAAAGCAGTGACAAAAAGCTTCGACTCTTTAATTATTCACTGTGAAAGAGCCTGTGACAGAGCTTGGGCCACCTGTGACTGAACGTGAGTAATTATATTGCATACAAGTAGATGAATAAAATATTTACAGTATGATGTAATACAAAAGCGGGTACTAATTACAACGTGACAACAAACATACATCAAAGGTGTGAACTAAAACGCTAGTTCAGGTTTGGTCTTATCACAGGGCACCCACACAAGCGGTGTGTCTGGTCGTTTGTTCGAAATATAAAGAAATGTATGGGAGAATATTGTAGAGTCGTAATATCGTAAACTTATATCAAGGATTGTCTATGTTAAGGCTTAAAATAAATGTAAACCTACCTCACTTGCTGTCTATTGTCGTTTCTGTAGTTCTACATGGCGAATTTGAGCGATTTGGTAGATTTTGCGTTGACTGTTACTTTATTGTCTCCTTCTTATACAGTAAAGTAACAGTCAACGCAAAATCTACCAAATCGCTCAAATTCGCCATTTAGAACTACAGAAACGACAATACACAGCATGCGAGGTAGGTTTACATTTATTTTGAGCCTTAACATAGATATTCCTTGATATAAGTTTACGATATTACGACTCTTCAATATTCTCCCATACATTTCTAATAGGTGCTAACATTCTGCTTCTGTTGTCTTTACTTAAACGGAAAATCGTTGCTAGATTAAAGAAGAAACGTCGCTTCTTGGTGCGGGTCTTAAGAAAGAGAGAATTCTTTGCTAAAGTGATTGAACAAACAATCGTATTTTCTAATTTCTTCCATAAACTGTTCCGTGTCAATTTCACCTTCCATCGTGTCAACACACGCACGTGTAAAAGTTGATAATCAACTGGTTGTCATGGTATCATGTCGCTTGCATTGCTTCACGCTGGGAAAACAACATTGCGGGACACATTCGGATCGCATGATCGCACACGATCGCATCCGATCTCACGGATAGAACATGGTTCTATTCCTGCGATCGCACAAGATCGCAGAGCTGTTGACATATGATCGCAGACGATCGCTGGCGATCGAGTGCGATCGCCTGCGATCATATGTGAACCAGGCTTTAATTTTGTTATAATCATAATTGACTAGAGGCAGGATCATGACTTTTCGAACCTGAAGTGTTCCTTTACCGAATCTTCGATATGAACACGTGTTTAGTAAAGGGCCTCAGTGGGGTGGTAGCTTTTACGGTTAACAGTTATGATTTGTCCATTTTACGGCTAATGGTTTACTTCCTTTCTTTGTGATTAAGAGAAAATTTTTATGATTTACGTTTTTTTACGAATAACGGTTAAACTTTAAAATTAAACCTCGACAAGGGATTTGTCAATATTTACGCCTAAAAGGTAAATGTTTTTGGCCTGCATGAATCAATGCCGATGTAACAGGTAGAATTTGTTAATTTTAATTTTTTATGGATTAAATCTCGCTGCGCCACCTAACTGGCTTTATAACTTGTCAAAGCACCTAATTGGGTTTAGTTTGATACGCCAAATTATTTTAGATGAGTTAAAATGTTAGCCAAGTAATATTTTATCACACTCAGTTACTTTCTCAGACTTAGTTATTTACACAGTCTAAATACATTTTGAGGAACAGGAATACTAGAATCCATTCTGTTTGTTTCATAGTGCTGGTCAAATTAATATGTTTAATGCCTGCTGAGAAATGTTGAGGGATGGTACGTCAATTTATTGATAATATACAAAGACGTCTTTGTATATATGCGGCATAAAGCTATCATTTGGTTCAGCTTAGGTTCAGCCATTGTATGCACATGCATGGTGCTTTGCGTGAACGAATCAGTTATAATGTTAATAATTAACTGACATGCTCCGCTTAATAATTCGATATGCGGCATTCCATGCAGATCAGTCCGAAATGCGCACTTAATCAGTCCGAAGTGCGCACTTAATCAGTCCCAAATGCGCACAATCGCGAAATGCGCACTTAATTCCATTTCTTGGAGAAAAATAACATACAGTAGTATCGACCTGTGACTGACGCTAAACTGTAACAATGCCTTTGACGTGACAGAAAGACACACACTTCTTGGTGCCGTGGACACTCAACCCTGCGACGTTGCCACATCAGCCAAATACATTCCACAATAACTTAACAAAGATGTCAGAGGTTTGTAGTGATTAAAATAAACGGTTGCGCGAAATATTTCGGATAAGGAAAAATTAGTATGCCATACTGGTAATTGTGGAAGGTGTTTAATCAAAAAGACGCCATGAGGTAGATGCGAACTTGTGTTCATGTTTTGTTCGTGGCATTTTACAGCCTATTCCTAGGCGTGGAGATAAAATTAGATCCCTTGTTGTGATTTTGCAGAGCCTCCAACATCGATAGTGTTTTCTGGCAAAGCATTCATTGTCTCCAGTTTCCATGCTCAGTAGTGTTTATATCGAATATACTTTTATTGTAATGCTTTGTGAGTACCAGTAAAATTTTCTGTGTGTTAAAATGGACAGGCAAATAGATATGAAGATGAGCAGAGGCTTGCGCATTGATCTGTTGGAATGTGCTTACAAATCACATTTTTCTTCTAGAAAAGCTGTTCTAAATTATACTTACTCATCCAGTCTTTAATTAAGCAAGCACTAATATTTTGCTTCAATGATTCGGAAGTCTTAACAACAGACAATTATTTCCTATGCACTAAAGCCGAAGGACGCCAGTTTCTTTATAGCGATAGGCAGTTGTGCATTTAATGTTATCATAGACCTTTTTTCGATTTCTCAATCGCGTGATTACCAACACTTTAACCTCTTTCATATGCCCCACTGTCTATTATTTTGAAAGCTGGATCAAAGCCAAGCAATATCTCAAGGTGTAATATTGCGCTTTGACAGATTTTTGCATTAGCTATTATACGTGACTACTTGTTCAAATATAAATGATGACAGCTCGTAGTGATGCATGTCACGGTGGCTAAGTCCAAATTCAGAGTAGGGTAGTTACTGTCACCAAAATCTGGTCAAAATTTTCAAATTCTCGTCTTTTTTTCTATTTGGTCAGAACATTGAAGTTAAATTAAAAAAAAAAAAAAAAAGAAAAATGCAAAATGCTGAAAAGAAAGCGAGATACGGCTGGAAGAGTCTTTAAGGGTTCAAATTACGAAAGGTGTCCCAATTCGAAAGGACTCCAGCAGAGCGTTGACGTTTTAGGCGGTCTTTCGTCTGGGACTTTGATTTGCATATTTTGTTTACAATGAATATAATGTATCGTTCACCGCACAGAACAAGGGAATTTCTGGCACATCTCGAAAAACGTTGGGTAATAAGAGCACTTATGAAACAGGGAAAATAAGAAAAGTTGCCTTGGTGAAAATCTAATAGAAAGCTCAGTTCAAAGAAATTGAAACGACCTACCCCGCTAATTTCAATAGACCTCTTTGTCACGAGACTTAGCATACTCAATGTCGGGTTTCATCGGTCATCGGTATTGAAGTGTGAAAACTGAATTTTTTGGAAGCTGAAAACTCGACCTTTGTTTTTACGTGAATTACCTCCACTTAAACGAGTTAATGGAATACATGTATGTCAATTTGTTGGATTCTGAACAAACTTGAACAGAATATCCATCAGATATCAACCCATGAAAATGTGTGAACGTCGTGAAGCTTTTAAAAAATTCGCAATGTTTTTCGTATGACATCCCGGCGCTTGATAACAACCGAGACACTTGTTGTTGTCCAACTTCGGAGCATATTTTCTCAGAAACCAATAGACATATGGAAAAAGCCTAATTGACTTTCTTAGCCTATTATCTGCTGAGTCACATAGTCCAGTTTGTTTAGATGTTCGCCGTAACGCGGAGGCTGTTAATTCAGTTAAGCAAACGACGTCAGACATGTGTTCAAGGGCCTGCCCGTGCCTTCCAACGCAAACGCTGTTAAAAGCGTTGTTAGAATAGAGACGTAAGAAGATTTCAGTAATTTGTGATTTTTTATGGTTTCTTTTAAAGTAGAGCACGGATAACGATTTTCCCGAAAAGCACCCTATTTTGTTGACGGTAAATCTATTTTTAGGGCTATCCGGTTATGGTTGTAAACGAGTTTTTACAAGGAAAAACTGAAAATATCACTTTAATGCTTCGCATATGATGCATTAACTCAAGATGTTAGAGGGATTTTTAAAATCATTTGCGTTCTATTTTTCGTCACTGCATTCCGCAAAGTTCAACATTCATCTGATACGGTATATTCTCTATATATGAAAGAAATTTGAGAAATTAGAATTTTAAAGCGTCGACTTGAAGGAGATAATAACTTTAGATATAATTTTTGACAGGAGAGCAGTTGTCTTGTAGAAGCTCAGTATAATGTATTTACGAAAAGCTTTTCAAACAACGAGGCAATCTGTGATCTGATTAAAGAGTCCTTTCTTAGAACATATTGTTTCAGGTAGATATTCATTTCAATGCCGTTGCCACCTCGATGTACAATGCAAGATCTTTGCGGCCGCGTAAATTGACGTCCTTATTGATTGGTGATACATGTCTATACATGAATACCAAGACCGCAATTTTGGAAAAACGAATTATACCTTCAAAAGAGTTTGGCCGAGAAAAAATCTTAACCAGACCTAGGCTACAGTGATCGGGTATTAGCACAAAGCAAATGGTTAAGAATTTAGAATGTCAAGAAATCGAATAATTTCCGACCATACCATGCAGAATGCCAATATTTCTGGTTAAATCTTTAAGCCAATCTTTCTTCCTGTCACTTGAATCGTTTCGTTTCGTTGCCAAAGGATGAGTTTTAAGCATGCGCAAATAATCACGTGTTAATGCGCGTGCACGCTTCAGATGGCTGCTGCCGACACAGCGGCAAAATGACTGCGCATGCTCGGCGGATTTGGCACGTTCGAGGAGCGTATAGAGTCAAGGGGAGCGACAGAACATTATTTTACTCTTTTTGGGCTGTCATTGATGTGAAGTAGTTGGACAATTTCATGGACTTTACTGTTGTGGTTTAGTCTGAAGGGTGACTAACATTCTCTTAAATATAGCTCATTGTAAGCTGTTTTAAATTTATCCAGACAACTAAAGCGATAGCATGCAGCAGTCGCACCTGTTACCGCACATATGTTTGGTTAAGCGAGATATGTGATGGAAGAGATTTTCCTGAGAATGGCGAGCTTATCTGTTTTGATTTTGAGCTTATCCCCGCAAAGTGACAACAAAGAATATGAATTTTTAAAATGCCGCCATGTTTGCCGTAACAGTGTTACGTTCCCATTCTTTTGCGTAAAAATTTCTTGTGCCACTGTATCGCTGCTGCCGACTGAAAATATCCCTCACGAGCTGGCGTTTTCTCAATTCCATTCGTTCGATATGATTACCTGAATAGATTGCTTCAAAGGTGAAAC